CTGCATTGTAAGACTGGAGGAAAGATAGCTCTGTAAAACCAACAAACAAATAATTAAAGTACAAGTATAAATTGTGCCAAGTTGCTACAACGCCATTGGACACACACAGAATAGAATAAACAATACATACAAACAAACAAAAATTAAAGATAAATAAAGCCATAATGTGCATAATATTTAAAATATCGCCGCTCCAAATATTTTCTTAATTAAATAAAAACATTTTTTTGAATCAAAAACAATATGTTTGTTGTAGTAAATATAATTTTTAATACATGAAATGCACAAAATTGTATTGAATTTACAAAACGTGACATTTTATATTAAAACTCATCCGCTTACATCACCAACAAAACAATGGCTTTTGCAAGTTGTCTAAGCGCTGTCAGTATTCTCACTTCCGGGTTTGTCATCGTGTGTACGTACATGTGTATAGCGGCAGCGAACATGGCGAACACGTTTGCTGTGTACATGACAGCAAAAGCTGGATCAACTATTAAATTTTAAATTAAGTTAAAAAAAACCAACCGACCCATTTTTTTTAAATTTCTGACTTTTTTTTTTTTTGGCCTAAGTATGAGTATGATTAATTATACAATTATACATATGGGCATTTTCGTTCCATTTCTTTCCTAAAACATAATCTACTCCTACTTGTACAAAAATCAGAACATCGTTTTCAGCCTTTCAATATATTTTATTCAGTTTCTCATTAGTCTGTGCTACAATTATGAACATCACTAATATAAGTATAATCTTGGGAACAGCACTTACCCATCAGCTTTTTGACAGTTTAACAAGAATCTACCCACAGAGAGGTTATTAATTTTAATCAAATAATAAGACATACAATTACCTACTTAATATAAGTTGGATATCTGCTGGCTTTAATTATAGTTTGTTCGGTGGATGTTATATAAAGTAAATGTAATCGTTACAAAATATAAAAATGTTTCCATAATGTTTTATATATCAAGGTTCTTGTATTGTTAGTGATTTTGTCCCACCACTCATACCAACCCACATTGGACCCCCCCCCTCATACGATAATTCAAAAATGAATTATGAATGTGATATGTCAACACGACTGATAGATTAGCAAGTATATGAGTCTTATGTAAATAAGTGCATCAATATCATAATTACATTTCTTTGTAATTTATTCGTAAATGTAAATTTGTACAATAACAGGCACCAAATGTTGTTACTACAGTTACAATTATAATCAAAAACATGTGTAAATTAAATATATATATATGAACAAAAGCAGTATACAGCAGTCACAATTGTATGTTGCATCATATACCCTAGAGTAGAGGGTCTATGATTGCATGCACAAAGACATTGTTTATTACATATATAACAATTGATTAATGGACACCAAGTAGCAAAATAGACTTGTGTTTATATTCATCGGAGATATCACACAACTTTACTCGGTGATTATACTTCGACATTTCTAACATATAAGTTAATACTCTATTTATATAACCATCAATTTTATATTATTTTCTTCTTTATTTTACGACAGATCTGATTTTGATCCGATTGACAGAATAAAAACAAGTGTAGGTATAGACTACTATACTCATTGGAAGGAAGAAAAGAATATATACAGAGAAAATTAACAAAATATTTGTATGCAAACATTATCTTTTATTTATCAATGTTTATTATTATTGACTTTTCTCATTTCTATATTACTCAGTTTTTTAATCCATTTTTTTTTTACTCTATTGCATTTCGTAGCCAAAAAAATGCTTAACCATGCTTTAAATGTATAAACTTAATGTAACTATTTCATCACTTACACCTCTTTTATGTAATAAACTCTGATAGTATGCAAAAACGCTTCTTATTTATTAACTTACACAGTGTGAATCTATGTGCGTGTACCATTCAATTATAAAATTATTGCTAGGTGTGACGTCATAATTAATTCGCGACGTCGTAATTTCTCGCACAAATGAAACAAAATATTATATTGTAATTTATGCCAATTTATGTTAATTTACTCACGACGTCCTCGTTACTCGCCTGATTGGAAAAAAAGTATTATAATTTATGCTAATTTATTCACATAACACTATTGTGCCGTCATAATTATGCAAACCTCCGTTGATGGGCATGGTGATAATTGATACTTATTTATTCACAAGAATCCATTGTGACGTCATAATTATTCAATTCTCCCGATAGTATGGTATTAACTACTATTGTGAATCAGAATCAGAGTATTCTGATCCAGATTGTTCGAATTCTGATTCATTCACCTCTTTCTGCATCATGATAGGTTTGCAGATAAACATCATTTCCAGATTTCCGTCAATTAAATATTCTGTTTTCCCAATTTTTAGCTTGGCCAACTCAATAACATCATACATTTGGAAAACAACCCGGTAGTTGTTTAATAATGGAAAAGACTTTGACACGACATATTTAACATACTCAGTGCTCTCCTGTTGGCATAGGATGGCTAGATATACTGATAAGGACCAGTATTCATCTTTGAATGCTGGAGAATGGTGTGCTTCAGCCTGCAAACACACACTGTTTCTTTTGCAGTTGAATTTTGCATAATCTGATCCTGGGCCATGCAAAGCCACACAAATGGCAGGTTTATGTGGTTCATACCTGTGTTTTCGTGTTATGTCACGACATTCTGTCGTTTGCTTTTCAGTTGGCCCGCTACCTGGATGTCTCCTTACGAATTGTGTTGTTGGTGTTCCTAAGCTGAAACTTTGTACAACTGGACTTTGTACGTTTCCAATGTGCATCGTAATGCGCCATAGAAATTTTTCATTTGAGTCAGCACATGATAGTGATACAGGTGTCATGAATGTGGGGAAATGGTATGGCCCTCCATCTTTGCTATAATAATTTTTGACGACAAGTCTATGCGCGAACTCAGTATTCTCGTGTAAGGGAACATCACCACCAGTTGCACTATATAGTCGTGGCTCTTTCATTGTATCGGATTCCTGTGTTGTTATACGTGTATGTGCATGTGATCGCAATGCTGGGATGATGTACTGGTCGTTGTATTGATCTATGTGCTTTCTTACAAACTCAGTATCAGCCAAACGATCTAAATCTAGAAGACTCATCATTTGAAATCGTATGAGCGGCAACAACTGCTGGAGATGTTCCTTTACCATGCCTGTTCTTGATTCGTCCTCAATCCTCGTTACAACCCACTGATGTAGTGCAAACTCGTCTGGAACAATCAAGTCGCTTTTTTCCAGAAACATCTTTATCATTTCCAAGTCCATGTTCAACCAGATGGCGGACTCTACGA